GCCATGCATAAGGAGAGCTTTAGAGCCCTCAATGATGAGGGAATAAAAATAGGGTGTGGAACTGCACGTTCTCACTCACAGGTGGGTGTTGAACAATGAGAACACATAGACACAGGGAGGGGAACATCACATAATCGAGTGTGTTGGGGTATGAAGGGATAGGGGAGGGATAGCTGGGATTGGGGAGGTTGGGGAGGGATAACATTGGGAGAAATGCCTGATGTAGGTGACGGGGGGATGGAAGCAGCAAAACACCATGGCATGTGTGTATCTATGGAACAATCCTGCCAGTTCTGCACATGTACCCCAGACCTTAAAGTACAATGTAAAAAATAGGGTGTGTAACTGGGTGTGAAATAGGAATAACATGAAAAGTAGGCCATGCCAACTGCATAAATGCTTCAAGATCAGTGATCCTGACCACTGTCCCAGTTTGGAGACTCAATTCTAGGCACAGCTCTTCAAATTCAGAAAACAACCATGACACTCTTCCGTAGTCAACTTCTGAAGAAATTTATCCATTGCCTTCCAGTTCCATTTAATAACTTTCATCTCCTATACTTCAAAGAAATAAAACAATAGGGAAGTCCATATATTGCCAAGAAAGGATAACCAGTGTATTTTATAAATAAACCACAAAGGACTTTTCTACTTTACTATTACCCATGAACTTGTTTTTGTTTACCCTCTACAGTGCGTATCATACAAATTCTTCATCATATCCCCAATGTCTGACATGGTGCTTAAGTCATAGCAGGGATTCTGTATTTGTTAAACTGAGCCTCTTTTATTCATTTATTTGACAAATGTTTACAGAGCTCCTGCTGTGGGTCATATTCTGCTTTAGAGGTTCAGGAAACAGTATAAACAAGAAAAACAAAGTGACTGTTCTTTTGTATCTTACAGAATGATGGAGCAGTGTGAACAGATAATCAACACATAGACAACAGAACAGACAGTTTCAGGTACAATAATTGGTACAGCTTCTGCACATACAATAATTGGTAAGAATGAGTGATCAAGAAAAGCCTTACTAGGAAGGTAACATCTGAGCTGTTTGTCAGATTTGTCAAACTTGTCAGATTTGATTGACAAGAAAGCAACTATGTAAAGACATGGGACCAAACCATCTCAGGGAGATGAAGCAGTAAGTGCAACATGAAGCAGGAAATAATTTTCCCTATTTAAAGAAAAGAAAGGATCCCAGAGTGGCTGCAGTGGGATGATCAGGGGGTAAAGTAGTAGGAAATGAAGCCTGAGAGATAAGAAGGGCCAGATCATGTAGGGTATATGGTAAGAAACTGATATTTTATTCTGAGTGAAACACGAAGTGCTTTTAATTATTATTATTTTGAGACAGAGTCTGGCTGTGTCTCCCACGCTGGAGTGCAGTGGCGCAACCTCAGCTCACTGCAAACTCCATCTCCTGGGTTCAAGCCATTCTCCTGCCTCAGGCTCCCGAGTAGCTGGGACTATAGGTGCCTGCCACCACACCTAGCTAATTTTTAGCATTTTTAGTAGAGACGGGGTTTCACCATGTTAGCCAGGCTGGTCTTCAACTCCTGACTTCAGGTGATACACACACATTGTCCTCCCAAAATGCTGGGATTACAGACGTGAGCCACTGAGCCCAGCCCATGAAGTGCTTTTAAGCAGGAGAGTGACATGGTAGGTTTTTACAAGATCTCTACGACTATTTGTTCCAAACAGAATAAAGTGGGGAGCAAAGGTAGAAGCAGAATCTAGCTATGAACCTTCATCAAAAGTAACAGATGAGGGAATAGGGAGATGCTGGGCAAAGAATACAAAATTTCAGTTAGAATAAGTTCAAGATCTCTACTCCATGTCATGGTTACTATAGTAAATAACAGTATGTTGTACACTTGAGAATTGCTAAGAGAGTAGATTTTATGTGGTCTCATCAGAAAAAGGTAAGTATGTGAGATAATACATATGTCAATTAGCTGATTTAGCCATTCTACAATGTATACATATATGAAAACACCATGTTCTATGCCATAAATCCATGCAATTTTTATTGGTCAATTTAAAAAAGAAAAAGAAAAAAAAGTAAGAGATGATGGTGGCCTGGATTTGGGTGGTACATCAAGGCTACACAAATGGTGAGACATGTATAGATATGAAACATATTGCAGAGGTAGAAGCTAAAAAAAATTTCAGAGGAATTGGATAAGATGGTAAATGAAGTGGAGGAAACAAGAATGATTTCTAGACTTTGTGCTTGTGCAGCTGGCAGAATGACTGGTGGTTGCCAGTTATTGATATGAAGAGAACCAGAAGTGGGGATGAGAGAGCCAATCCAGTGGAGGAGAATCAACAGTTCCTTTATGGCCATGTTAACCTTTCTGTTTAATATCCAAGTGAAGACATCATGTAGAAAACTCTTTTGATGATTTTATAAGTGCGATTCTCAGGTATGGAGCTCAAGTAGGAATTCAGGGCTGGAGATAGATTTTAAAAGTGGATGTCACTGACATCTACATAACACTTCAAATCAAGGGAATAGATGAGATAATGTGGAAAATGAGTACTGTGTAAATATAAAAGAGGAAAAAGTCCAAAGACAGAGCCATAGGCACACCCCTGTTTAGAAGTTGAAAGGCGAGGAAGAAGTAAAAATACACAGAGAAGGAGTGGCCAATTCATACAGTTTGGCTCTGTGTCTCCACCCAAACCTCATTTTAAATTGTACTCCCATAATTCTCACTTGATTGAGGGAGCGGCCTGGTGGAAGATAATTGAGTCATGGGGGCAGTTTCTCCCATACAGTTATCATGGTAGTGAATAATCTCATGAGAGTTGATGATTTGATAAGGGGAAACCCATTTCGCTTGGCTCTCAATCTCTCTTTTGCCTGCTGCGATGTAAGATGTGTCTCTCACTTTCCATCATGATTGTGAGGCTTCCCCAGCCATGTGGAACTGTAAGTCCAATTAAACCTTCTTTTTTTGTAAATTGCCCAGGCTCAGGTATGTCTTTACCAAAAGCGTGAAAGTGGACCAATACTCCAGTGAACCAGAAAAGAAACCTGGTGATTGTGCTGTCCCAGAAGCTGAGAGAAAAGTGTTTCAAAAAGGAGAGAGTGGTCACAGGTCCAATGTTTTTGAAGAGTCTAGAAGTGTGGAAAATTACTCAATTCACTCAAAATGAGGCAGTAATTCTCAACTCTCATCCAAACCAACTCTCTTTTCACCACACTTATCTGCCCCATGTATTATTTGTTCATGTATTTTCTAATCACTTGATTAAAATGAAGAGGTAAATATTTTGTTATAAAGAAAAAGAAAGATGAGTATAGTTAAAGGACCAAATAATTCATCAATGTGAAGGTTACCGGTATTCCTGACAAAAGTAGTCGTATTAGAATGGTAGGAGCTAAAGCCTCAGTGAAGTGGGTTGAAGAAAGAATGGGATGTGAGCCAGTGGAAACAGGGCCTATAAAATCATTTTAGTAAGCTTTTCTGTGAAGGAGGACACATAAATAGGGTAATACCTGGAGGTATCATGGGGTCAAAAAATTTAAGGTAAGAGATTATTACAGCATATTTACATATTTATGGGCATGACCCACTCAGATGTGTTGAGTTAAACCTTCTAAGTTAAACCTTAAAATATTACAGGTAATATTTTACAACCTCGGGGCCATGTTTCCCTTGGCAATATTTACCACATGCCTTTAAGTGCTTAAGATACAGAAATTTGCATTATTTCCCACATATGCTTCCATTAATTTTCATTTCCTTGGTCCACTTTTGCATAAATCTCAATCAGATTTTAAGTCTCAACCATATACAAACTTGTGAATGGAAAGAAACAAACTATCTGTGTATTAGAAGGTACTTCAAGAGTTCCTCTAATCATTAATCCCTCCCAGAAAATGACTAAAGTAAAGTGAGAGACCAAATTTTCCCACTCACAGCTAATTTTCAATGTGGCTAATTGAAAATCTATAAGTATGGCACAGGCTGAACAAATCAAACCTTTTTCCTTCTGTAAAAGGGTAGTAGTGCCCTGTGATGTTTTAGATTTGCCTCCTTTTACAGGATAGCCATGAGTTTGCAGTATTGTGCGCAGTCTTGTCAAGACAGCATCCAATTGGAACTTCTTTGACTTTTGGGATTCATCAGATTTATCCCTAATTGAGAAAAAGAAAACCTGTCAGGCTTACTAATGGCAAGGGTCAGGCATGGAATTCAGATGATGGAACAATAGAAGGTGAGAAGAGAGAAAAGGAGAAGTTAGTGTCAATATCTGAGCAAAAATCCAGTCCCTTGATTACCCATAGAGCAACAATAAGAATCATTATTAAAATAAGGAAATGAAAGCCAACTTCATCTCCCTTTGCTGTGGGGCCCTTGAGGGTAGGGACCATATCTGTCTCTTCATCTCTTCCAGAACAAAGCCCAGCACAGTAACTGGCACAGTGGCCTAAGAATTACATAAAGTAAGTCCAAATTAATTTGAATTTAATGCTGGGCCTTTGTTCCACCACATATTATTACCTGTTTTAACAAGAGCGTTTCTGATAAAATAAAATTTTTTCTAAATGGTCTATAATTACTCAAGAGGCTCTTCAAAGCCAATGCTGCTTTTCAGAAGACTGAACTGTAAAATGCTAATTGAGTTTTTGTTTAACTTTTAAAAACCACAGATCATACTGAAAACTTTTGACAAAAGCTTTCTCATCAGTGTACTTAAATTTATTTTAGAAGTTTGATATGAAAAAATAAGTTAATTTAATCTTCTCAAACATAAACGAATTTAAGCTGTAGGCAAGCCAAAGCTCAAAACATATCAGGGATTGTATACTTGTCAGTTATTTGTTAACCATTTATTTAGAGTCAGCTCTAGGCAGCCACTGGGCAAGGCATGGAGGACACAGTTTGAGGAAGAGGGCTGTTAGGTAAATAGGTAATGTGCTAAGTATTATAGAGTTGGGCTGAGGGTTATAAAGAAAACCACTGGAGAAACCACATTTTTTTAAATTGTATTTTAGGTTCTGGGGTACATATGCAGATCATGCAGGATTGTTGCATAGGTACATACATGGCAAGGTGGTTTGCTGCCTCCATTCCCCCGTCACCTATATCTGGCATTTCTCCCCGTGTTAACCCTCCCCAACCTCACCGCCCCTGCTGTCCCTCCCCTACCCCAACAACAGACCTCAGTGTATGATGCTCCTCTCTGTCTGTCCATATGTTCTTATTGTTCAATGCCCACCCATGAGTGAGAACATGTGGTGATTTTCTGTTCTTGTATCAGTTTGCTAAGAATGATGGTTTCCAGATTCATTCATGTCCCTACAAAGGACATGAACTCATCCTTTTTTATGGCTGCATAGTATTCCATGGTGTATATCTGCCACATTTTCTTTGTCCAGTCTATCACTGATGGGCATTTGGGTTTGTCCCAGGTCTTTGCTATTGTAAACAGTGCCACAATGAACATATGTGTGCATGTGTCTTTATAACAGAACGATTTATAATCCTTTCAGTATATACCCAGTAATGGGATTGCTGGATCAAATGGCATTTCTATTTCTAGATCCTTGAAGAATTGCCACACTGTCTTCCACAATGGTTGAACTAATTTACACTCCCAGCAACAGAACAGTATAAAAGTGTTCCTATTTCTCCACATCCTCTCTAGCATCTGTTTGTCTCCTGATTTTTTAAAATATATTTTATTGCGTTTTAGGTTTTGGGGTGCATGTGAAGAACATGCAAGATTGTTGCATAGGCACATACATGACAATGTGGTTTGCTGCCTTCCTCCCCTCACCTATATCTGACATTTCTCCCCATGTTATCCCTCCTCAACTCCCCACCCCCCGCTGTTCCTCCCCTAGTTCCCCACCACAGACCCCAGTGTGTGATGCTCCCTTCCCTGTGTCCACGTGTTCTCATTGTTCAACACCCACCTATGAGTGAGAACATGCGGTGTTTGTCTCCTGATTTTTTAATGATCGCCATCCTAAGGTGTGAGATGATATCTCAATGTGGTTTTGATTTGCATTTCTTTAACGACCAGTGATGATGAGCATTTTTTCATATGTTTGTGGGCCTCATAAGTGTCTGTTCATATTTCTCTGAGTGAGTTAGGCTTCCCTGAGGAAGTAGGATTTTGCTAGACGTGAAATGGGAACAGAGGACAAGGGAGAGGGCTTTGAGAAAAATGTCAGTCAATTATGAATGCATACCTCTTCTCTTTTTCTCGCTCATCTTCATTCATTATTCAGTGGTATAAGGAAGACTCCTGAAATCAAAGTGAAGAAACATTTTACTAAGAAATCAATCTACGATGAATCACGGTAAAGCAATAAGACTAATCAAAATTCTCAATTGCGTAACACTTTTCCCTCAAGGAATGCCTACTTCTTTTAAAGACAGAATTTCATTAAGCACCAATAACACTTTCGTATGTTTATGTAGATGTTGAAGACTTGCTTTGTTGTGTAATCCCCAATGAATATTTTTGACAATAACATTATAAATGAAGCATATATTTGTAAAAGTTACAAAAACATTCTGTGGTTACACCACTTCATCCAAAGAAACAAATATTTGTAGTTTTAGTTATATACCCTTAAATTTATTTAACTTTCACTAACTTTGAGAAAATTTGAGGAAATGAAGACAGATGTAGTTTGAAAGCTTCATGCCCATGCCACAAAAGGGAAAATCTGCATTATTGTTGATGTTCACAGATATCCTTGGCATATAAAACAATGGCCCTGAAATCACTGAAGTCCTCTGCTTTGAGTTGTGCAATTAGACTCATACATCACCTCAAGGCCAAAGCCTCAAAGTAGATGTCAATGGCATCGCAATACATATTTGTCACAAAAAGTGATATAAAATATAGCAAACATCCTTTAAATGTTCTCTAAGTAAGGGAAACCTCAGGGAGTCAAACACTGAAAAGGTACTGAGCACAAAACATGAACCTGTGCTTGGCATTAATGCTCTCTTAGATAAAAAATAACCCGAACAGGGAAGTGAAACTAAAACTCACCACCTCTCCCTATGTATAGCCAGAACTTCCAGAAGCTAACATTACATTGAAAAACAATATACTGGATAAAAAATAACCCAAACAGGGAAGTGAAACTAAAACTCACCACGTCTCCCTACATGTAGCCAGGACTCTCAAAGGCTAACATTACATTGAAAAAAAAAAATCCTCCCACCAACAAAAGAAGAAAACAGGAAGCTTGCCTGTCTCAGCATGTTCTCTAGGTGAAGGAGAAAAGATACCACCATAGTGAATCAAACTTGGGGTTCCAGAAAAAGCAAAGATAAACCTTTTCTGGAGAGATACTCTCTAAAGACAGATTCCACAGATTTTCCACAGATAAGGCACTGTTGAAGATGAGCCTACCATTCAAATTCAGAAAATACATAAGGAAATAATCTATCAGTCCCAAAAAATCCATCATACCTCAGCAGTATGAAACCCCCAGGAACTTCAAATAAATGTGGAAAAAGATGAATCTGAAATTATATAAATAGATATATCCAATGAAATTAATTTTTAAAAGATGGGTTGAACAATGTATTAGAAACACCAGATGAGGGTATTAGTAAATGAGATAGAGCTATGAGGAAACTTAGCATACCGTAAGAGAAAATAGGATGGAAAATATGAAACAAGAGGTTATGAGACATGAAGGACTAAATGGGAAGGCACAATATACATCTAAGAGGGGTTCCAGATGGACATAATGGCAAGGGGAGATGGGCAGTAAGGAGATCATTTTAAATTTTCCAGAATGGAAAATGTGACCCAATACGGATAAATTAAAATAAAACCATGCCTAGAAACATCATGGTGAAATTTAAGAGCACAAAAAACAGCTAAGCCATTCTAAACCATAAAAAAGATCAAGAAACAACAAAGGATACTATCGTATAGGTCGTATTTTCTGGCCCAAATGCAAATAAATTAGAAATCAAGAATAAAAAGACAATACAAAACCTCATTGATTTGAACATTCAAAATAACAAAACTTCCTAAATAACTCTGAAAAGTAGAAAATATTCAAAACTAAACTATTACAAGTATACTACATATTAAAAACATATTAAAGTAAAATGCAGCTAAAGCAGTGCCAAAGCATTTAGTCTTAAATGCCTATTAGGAATAAAGGTAAACAAAAATTAGTAAACAAATTAGTAAACAAAATTAGTAAATTGACCAGGTGTGGTGGTTCATGTCTGTAATCCCAGCACTTTGAATAGTGCCATGAACAACTAGGAATCTGGACAAATTATAGGAAATGCCTGTTCTAAGACACTGGAAAGAAGGAAGAGCATGCCTGTGATCTTTGAGATAAGAGCAAAAATGAGAAAAGCCCTGCAATAATCCCAGATTTCTACCTGAGGGCACTTCCAGACCATGATTGAGGGAGAAAGATCTCAAGCAGAATAGAGTGGTCTCATTAAGTTTTAGGAGACAGACAAGCGTTCAGAAGGCCAAGATGGTTACAAGTTGTGGAGCAGAGTACCAAAAAGAAGGGAGTTCTGAGGGAAAAAGGGTTTCAAAAATCTGCATACATGTCATCTTGAATCTTTAGCTGATTGCTAAGCTGTGCCTATGCAAAGTGACATTCTACAAGACCAGTCAAAGATCAACTACCAGGGAGAGAATAAATGCTATGAATACAAAACTAAATAACAACCACACCTCATGCGCAAGTGAAAGACATGTGAGTGCTATCCAGCCAGAGTAGAGGAAAATAAGCAGAGTCTCTCTCAGTGTGGGATGGTATCGGGCAATCTAAAATATAAGTAACTAGATTCCCAGAAGAGCGAGGCAAAAAAATTTTTTTGAAAAAAATTTACTAATTTTTTTGCCATACTGGATGAAAAATATAAACTAATATATTCAAGAATATTGGTGAATTCAATGAAATAAACACAAAGAAAAACTAAAACAAATTGCCAAAAACCAATTTTAAAGAGAAATCTTAAAAGCATACAGAAATAAAAGATACATTTAATACGGGGGGAAAAATGATGTTTTCTGTCTGGCTTCCCATCAGAACAACTCAAACCAAAGAACAATGGAGCATCTTTAAAGTGCTTAGAGTGGGGTTGGAAAATCAACCTAGAATTCTACATCCAGCAACAATACACCCTTTTAGAAAATTAAAGGTAAAGATTTTCAGGTGAACAAAACCTGAAAGAAGTCACTGAAAGCATACCAGCCTTAATAGAAATGTTAAAGGAAGTACCTCAGGTAGAAGGAAAATGATGCCAGATGGAATCTCAGATCTACACAAAGGAATGAAAAGCACTGGCAAGAATATATTATGTTCATAAATATAAAATAATGTTTCTCTTCTTTAATTTATTTAAAAGATAATTGCTGTAAAAGCAAAATACTCTAGAGTTTATAATATACGCTGAAGTAAAACCTGTGACAATAAAGCACAAAGGACAAGAGGGTGGAAAATAGAAATCTACTGTTGTAAGCTTCTTACATTATACATGAAGTGGCACAATATTAATTCATGGCAGGCTGTAATAAATTAAAAATTTATATGACAAACTGCCTAAAGCAACAAATAAAAGGCACAGATATAGATTATAAATCAAAAAAGAGATAAAATGAAATACTAATTAAAAATTCATTTAATCCAAAATAAAGCAGAAAAAAGAAAACAATGGAATCAGCGATCAAACAGGACAAACAGAAAACATATAATAAGATGGCAGACTTAAATCAAAACATATTCATAATCATAAACTATCAACGGACTAAACACACAAATGTAGTTTAGGAATGTTGATTAGATTTTTAAAAAGCAAGACCAAACTATATTTGTCTATAAGAAACTCAATTTAATTATAAAGACACAGGTTAAAAGATGGATAAAAAAATATATATCACAAAGATATAATGATAAAAGATTTGGGTGACTATATTAATATTACACAAAATAGATACTAGGATAAGGAATATCACTAGGAAAAAGGAGGGACATCTCAAAATGGTAAAGGAAGTCAATCAAGAAAACCTAACAATGCTAAATAGCTTTACATCTAATCACAAAGCTTTACAGTGAAGTAAAAACAGACAGAAATGAAAGAAGAAATAAATAAATACATAATTAAGAGTTGATAATTAAAACACTCACCTTAATATTCAATAGAATAAGTAAAGATAAAATAAGTAAGGATATCAAAGACAACATTGCCAGCAAACCTGGTCCCATTTATGTTTACAGAACACCACATCCAGGCAACTATGGAATGTACATTATCTTCCACTGTATATGAAACAGCCAATGAGATTCAACATCTACTGGGCCAAAAACCAGTTTCAATAAATTTAAAGCATTAAAATCACACAGATTTTGTTCTCTGACCACAACAAGTTTAAATTAGTAATCAATAATAAACAAACAAATATCTGGAAACCCCTCAAATATTTGGGAATTAAATCCCATACTTCTAAATAATTTGTGAGTCAAAGAAGAAACCCCAAATAAAATTAGAAAATATTTCAAAATGATTTACTATAAAAATTAATTTTTAATTCCAAAAACTTCAATAATCTAATTGTAATTTATTAAAATTATATTATAATCATTATGGTATATATTTCCATCAAGAAAAGTTCTCTCACTCTACAATTATTCAAACCTGTCTTTCATGTTCTTAAATAACATTTATAGTTTTCTTCATATAGAAAGGAAACTATACAGTGCTTAGTAGCTAATTTAACAAAAATGCCCAGAAATACTACACTAGAAATAATAAGGCTTTATTGTATCACATAAAAGAAGACCTAAATAAATGCAGTGACAATGCCAAGTCTGTGAAAAAGATGGCTCAATATCATCAATTTATCAGATCTTCCCAGCTAATCTATGAATTTACATAATTCAGATCTAACCAGTAAGTTTTTTGTTTTGTTTTTCTTTGTTTCTCTGTGTAACTTCACAAGTTAATTACAAAATTTCTGTGGAAAGTAAAGGACCAAAATATCTACAATAACTTTGAAGAACAACAGCAATATAAAGGGTGTGCCTACTAGACATCAAAGCTTATTATAAAGCGACAGTATTTAGGCTAATGAATAATGGTGAAACACATACATATAGTACAGAAGATCCATGCATGAATTGAAATTTGATTTATTATAAAAGAGATGTTAAAATTTTGAAGTTTTACCATGGAGAGATAGAAAATGGAGAGAGAGAGAGAGTGTGTGTGTATGT